TGGAGCGAGAGTGAGCAGAGCTGCTCCCTCGCCGTGGACAGGAAGTGCGGGGGACCAGCATCCCAGTCCAATACCCTCCTGACCGCACCCTGGGACCTCCTTCCTCCCACTGGGCCCCAGCTCCCAGAGAGCCCATGCCTGGACAGTGCCACAGGCTGGGGACCAGGCCTTCAGGCTTCCTCAGGTCAAACCTACCAAAGAGCAGGTCAGCTCTCCCAGCTCCCACAGAGCCTGCCCCAGTGGGTGGCCAAAAGCCTCTTGCCCCTTCCTTCCCACATTCAGACTGGCAGGAGTCCCCCACTCGGACTCTGGCCTTGGGCTGCATCGGGGGACCCTTGGGTCACGATCCTTGTCTGCAGAGGGTGCTGTGGGTCTCCTGCAGTCTGTGTCTTGGTGGGCACTTGTTACTCCTGCCATCGGGCTCCAGGAGGTTGTGTGTCGTGTGCAGTCAGCGGGTCCCAGTGGGGCTCCAGACCTCCGTCAGCTGAGGAGAGGGTTGCACCCAGCTCGCAGCACACGCTGACCTCTGCCAGCTTGGGCTGGAGGGCTGTGCCTGTCTTTGAGATGGATTTGTATCTTGGGAGGGGCCTCATCTTCTTAAACTTTGTTTTGAGGACACTTCTTGTATCCACAGTTAAGTCATAAAAGCTTTATCGATTTCAGTTCTTAGTCACAGATAGATCTCTTGGTTTATAAGAAAAAGAGGAGTTTAATTACTGCCATGAATATGAACTGTTTGGCCCAGCTGAAACCTGATCAGAAGGTCTGAAAGGGTGGCCTTGTGGTGCACCCTGCAATCCTGGCAACTTGGGAGGCTGAGGCCGGAGGGTTGTGAGTTCAAGGCCAGCCTCAGCAACATGGCAAGGCACTAAGCAACTAAGCAAGACCTTGTCTCAAAATAAAAAATTGAAAGGGCTGGGTATGTGGCTCAGTGGTTAAGCACCCCTGAGCTCAATCTGGGGTACCATTACCAAAAAAAAGTAAATAAAGATTTGAAAGGATTTCTTTCTTTCTTTCTTTTTTAGAGCTTTATGATCAAAACTGGCTTAATTGGAAACTGAGATTCAGACACACACACACACACACATTTTCTTTTTTAAGGCAGCATATTCTTTCAATTTGATCTGACAGAGGACAGACAGGAGTGGTGGGAACATGAGGTTAAGGGAATAATTGCATAAACTCACCCACTGCTGACCCCCATGTGCTTTCCCTTTTGAAGGCCGCTCACCTGCAGCCCTGCCTGGCTAAGTGGACAGGGTATGTTACACTCCTCAGCAAACTACCTGTCACCTTCAGGAGAAATGTAGGAAATGTAGGCCTGAAATAATGCTGATAAGAGGAATGCACTCTACCCTGAATGGGGAGACTTTTGTGACCCTTTTACAAACCAGGTCCCAGAACTCGGGCACATGAAGATCATTTTCCCACTCACAAAATCTGTAAGAACAGGTCCCATTTAGAACTGGTCAGCAGGGGCCAGTGACCTAGAGTTGTCATGGCAATGGGGACTTGAAAGTCTGATGTTATCTTGCTGTCAGTCAAAAGTCAAGAGGTGGAACTGGGCAGGACTCTCTGGAAAGTTCCCTGGGACCCCAATAAAGCTGAAGGGCAGGAGAGGTGGACTGTCCCTCTCTCCTCTGAGAGGACCCACCCTCTCCCTGAGAGTGTCCCCTCTCCCCCTTTCCCATCCATAATAAACTCACGCCTGTGGGGGGGGGCTTTGTGCTGCCTCAGTTTCCCAGGAGGCCTGGTCTGGACAGCTCCTCCCTCTGTGGGAAGTCGGGGTTCACGGGAACCCTTTTCGACGCTGACCGACGGATTCTTCCCTCTTCCTTCTTGTTGGACCTTAGTGGGCTGTGGATCAGAAGAACTTGGGCTGCTCCCTGTGGGCGTGGCACCTGGAAAGGGACCCTCGGTGTCCTGCTCCCAGGCTGTCCCAGGCTGCTCTGCTTCCTGTCACCTGTCGGCATGGGCCCCAGGAGCAGCGCTGGCTTTTGGGGGGGAGGGCCCTGGGTTATTTAGCAGCCCCTCAACGTTCTGAGTGTCAGGTGACTCACTGAGGTTTCAGGGACCTGTAGGTCTTCCCTGTTGAGGGACTTTCTGTCCTCCTTTGGCCGGTACGAGCTGTTCAGGAGATGAAGGAGATGAAGGAAAGCGCGACGCCCACCTCTTCCCTGGTCCAGGGTTGTCTTTCCCTGGTGCTATTGCTATTGTGGACTCTGTGTGAGAAGGGGACGTGCCAGAGTAGCAGTCTGCCACTCCCTGCCACTCCCCCGTGGCTTTGTTTCACAGGATTTCTCTTTTTCCTTCTCTTTCCTAGGGATCAAACCCAGGGGTGCTTGCCCACTGAGCATATCCCCAGCCCTTTCTATTTTTTATTTTGAGACAGGTCTCGCGGAGTTGCTTAGGGCTTTTCTAAGTTGCCGAGGCTGGCTTTGAACTGTGATCCTCCTGCCTCAGCCTCCTGAGTGGCTGGGATCACAGGCGTCACTGCCATGCCTACCTTTCTTTCTTTTTGCTTTTTGAATTATACCGAATTCAGCTTATTCTTTTCTGCTCCGGAAGTTCAGTTTTATATTTTCACCACAACATCCCTCTGACTCTCAGGAAAATAAACATAAATAAATCTGTTTTCTTTTCCTTTTTCTGTCCTATCGAGCTTTTACTCTACTGTGGCACTTAGAAACTGTCATTAGTAATTGAGGCACAGTCAAAGAATTCAATAATATGTGTGGTGAAACAATCAATTAATATAGAATTACAGTTCAGATCTTCTCTGAAATGAAAAAACAAGGCCCGTATAAGTAGCCAGTTTTAATTTAATAACTAGAACCTGCTTCAGGCATATCAATGAAAAAAAAAATCCTCCAAAGCAAACCTGAAATAGGAGAAATGTGTTGGAGCCCCTTTTCTTGTGGAGAGTATGCACTGCTTTCTAGAAAAAGCAAGTCAGGTGCTCGGGCATACTTTAAATATCGACTTTTGTATTTTATTTATTTTTTTTAAGACTGGATTTAAACTTTTGATATAAAACAGACTTTTAATTTCCCGTTTTTCAAAGATAATATTGAAAGGTCACTCAAGCTTTTAAAGTTTTAAGAAATGACTCATGGTACTACCAGTGTCTTGTGGGCTTCAAAATCAAATTTCCGGTCAGCACTGTGCATTTTGATTTGGCAAACACATACTCTTTTTATGTGTTGTAATGGAACTTATTATGAAAATCTTTTTATGACCATGTTTGACTTGGTAGGTCTTCAGAACATTCTATTTAATAGATAAAAAGAACACTGCATGCTTTAATGAAATATTCTGAATGCTTGTGTCCATTTTAAGATAAACCTTTGGCTAAGATTCATAAAATATGAAGCTTTTCTTCTTATTGCTTTCAGACTTATCTAACAATTTGTATAATCCTGTATATTTGCCATTTACTGTGTTTACCATTTCCTAATTTGTAAAGGTGCCCACAGTCAGGTGAATAGTCTCAAGTGGGTGACACTGTTCCCCAGAAACAGCACAGGATTAAGAAGTGCCATGTGCAAAGCAGCTGCCCCTCTCCTCCTACCCATGGAGACAGTGGAGACTTCTGTGCCCAGAGAGACAGGGCAGAGCTTTTGCCTGTGGGCCCATGTGGCTGAGCTGTCTGAAGGATTGTGCATGCCTTGGGGAGATGCAGCCCAACCTCTGGATGGGGCCTGGTTCCAGGGACCTGTGGATCTGGCCTGGTGGGGCTTCAGCCCTGATTCAGAGGACCCCTGGAAACCCACTAGCTGCAGACTCTCCCAGACTCTCCAGAGGCCCAACCAAGAGCAAAGTGAATTCCAGTCTCATTTCTGACTAGTTTAAAATTCTCAGCTGGGACTCAGAAATGACTTTCAAGAAATATTTACTGAACACCTACTATGTGTTTCAAGGTCATCCTACTCCAGATTCCCCCAAACTTTGTGTTTTATTTATGAATTCATTTCCCCATACAGAAGTCCGGTATAATCTGTGGCAAGTCAAAGAGATTGAAACAGTCATTGCTACCCTTAAACTTCTTAGAAAGATTCGTTTATTCTATTCTTTAAATTCTTCAAATGTTCTATTATATTTTTTTTCATAATACTCTTTTTTTTTTTCTATTTTTTAGTCTTAAATCAAATCTATTTAGGAAGGGTTGTGTTTCAAGGGTCTCCTCAATCCTGAAGAAATAGTTAACATTTCTGTGGGTTGTGTGTCGATGCTTTAAGAACATCAATCAGGAACAAAAAATGGTGTCCAAGGAAAGACCTCTGCATTAGAAAATCACAGAAAAGTCACCCCAGGAAATGAATAGAAGGCTCTGGGCGTGTGCTGAAGGTGCACCAGGCGCTAAACACTGTGTCAGGTCTCTGGTGATCCAGAGCCACGGTTTAGGATCTCCAGTCCCAAGACTGTGGTGGCAGCATCAGCAGGTCTGGGGGTTTTCAAACCCGGGAGAACTTCGGAAGAGTGTGCCCTGAAAGTGCAGGAACTTCCCTCAGGCCGGGAACTCCAGCCCTGCGGCTGTGTCAAGGCCCCGGTCCGGTTGCCTCGGAAGAGGAGCGGGAAACCCTCCCGGAAGGGGGTGCGGTTCTGGGGAGCCAGGTCAGCCCCGGACAGGACCAGGCGGCTCGGCCTGCGCCTCGGCTCGGCTCAGCCGGCTCCGCTCAGCCCGCGGCAGCCCCGCCGGCTCCGGGTCCGCACCGCCTCTGGCCAATCAGCGCCCGGCGCCGGCCTGCGCCCCCCACCCGGCCCCGGCCCGGCCCGGCCCCCGGCCCGCGTCCCCCGCGTCCCCCGAGTCCCGGGCCGCGCAGGGCCGCGCGAGGAGGGGCCGGGCCGCGGGGGATCCTGGAATCGGCGGGAGGTGGGGATTCTGGGAGGAAGGCTCCATTTCCTCCTTCGCGCCGGCCTCTCCCCGCCACCCGCACCCCAAATTTCGACGTGTCGCTTCCCGGGCGCTGGCGCCGCGGCGGCGCGAGGCCCGGGGGAGGATGCTGGGCATGTACGTGCCGGACAGGTTCTCCCTGAAGTCCTCCCGCGTGCAGGACGGCATGGGGCTCTACACGGCCCGCCGAGTGAGCAAGGTGGGTGCCGCGGCCCGCGCCCCTGCCCCGCCACGTAGGGCCCGCGGCGAGCGGTGCTGCGCGCGCACGGCCCGCCCGGCCTCCGGCCCCGCGCCGCCGCCCCGGCCCGGCCCGGCCCGCTCCGCTCGGTGCCCGGGCGTTGGGCG